GAAATGTTTCAGATCATCAAACAAATTGAAATATTAGACAAAGATAACACAAGTAAACACAAAATGCAGTTTTTAATTGAAGGTTTTTATTATTAAGGGAAAAAGAAATCCAAACCTACATGGCCCTGTGTGAAAAAGTGATTGCCCCCCCCCCCGTTAAAACATAAATCAACTGTGGTTTATCACATCTTTGGAAAGCTGAGTTCAATTTCCCTAGCCACACCCAGGCCTGATTACTGCCACACCTGTTCTCAATCAAGAAATCACTTAAATAGGACCTGCCTGACAAAGTGAAGTAGACCAAAAGATCCTCAAAAGCTAGACATCATGCTGCGATCCAAACAGATTCAGGACCAAATGAGAAACAGAGTAATTGAGATTTATCAGTCTGGAAAAGGTTATAAAGCCATTTCTAAAGCTTTGGGACTTTGGCCACAAATGGCCAAAACATGGAACAATGGTGAACCTTCCCAGTAGTGGCCGGCTGACCAAAATCACCCCAAGAGTGCAGCGACAACTCATCCAAGAGGTCACAAAAAACCCCACAACAACATCCAAAGAACTGCAGGCTTCACTTGCCTCAGTTAAGGTCAGTGTTCATGACTCCACCATAAGGAAGAGACTGGGCAAAAATGGCCTGCATGGCAGAGTTCCAAGACGAAAACCACTGCTGAGCAAAAAGAACATAAAGGCTCGTCTCAGTTTTGCCAGAAAACATCTTGATGATCCCCAAGACTTTTGGGAAAATACTCTGTGGACTGACGAGACAAAAGTTGAACTTTTTGGAAGGTGTGTGTCCCATTACATCTGGCGTAAAAGTAACACAGCATTTCAGAAAAGGAACATCATACCAAATATGGTGGTGGTAGTGTGATGGTCTGGGGCTGTTTTGCTGCTTCAGGACCTGGAAGACTTGCTGTGACAAATGGAACCATGAATTCTGCTGTCTACCAAAAAATCCTGAAGGAGAATGTCTGGCCATCTGTTCGTGACCTCAAGCTGAAGCGCACTTGGGTTCTGCAGCAGGACAATGATCCAAAACACACCAGCAAGTCCACCTCTGAATGGCTTAAAATGAAGACTTTGGAGCGGCCTAGTCAAAGTCCTGACCAGAATCCGATTGAGATGTTGTTTCATGACCTTAAAAAAGCGGTTAAGGCTCGAAAACACTCCAATGTGGCTGAATTACAACAATTCTGCAAAGATGAGTGGGCCAAAATTCCTCCACAGCGCTGTAAAAGACTCATTGCCAGTTATCGCAAACGCTTGATTGCAGTTGTTGCTGCTAAGGGTGGCCCAACCAGTTATTAGGTTTAGGGGGCAATCACTTTTTCCCACAGGGCCATGTAGGTTTGGATTTTTTTCCCCTTAATAATAAAAACCTTCATTTAAAAACTTTATTTTGTGTTTACTTGTGTTATTTGTCTAATATTTCAATTTGTTTGATGATCTGAAACATTTCAGTGTGACAAACATGCAAAAAAATAAGAAATCAGGAAGGGGGCAAACACTTTTTCACACCACTGCAGTTTCTCAAAACTCTGAAATATTAAAGGACATACTGGTGTCAAAAAATATATATATATGTAAGTAAAAATAAAATGTTTAACGTTCTGCTTTTAAATATTATCAAGTAGAAAGCAAAGCAGAGTAAATCAAAGCTCTCCTGGAAACTTTCAAAACTCTTGCCAGTTGGTAATGTTTAGTTTCCTGGTCCTTTCTCTTTGCCAGGTTTTGTTTATTTTGCATTGTCGAAATTTAAGGTGAGAGTTTGGGATTCTCTTACAGTGAATCTCAGCCAAAGCAACAGTGAGGTTTTGCATTATGCATCAGTATATATCTTGTTAATTGAAGAGGCTTTGAAGGTGTATTTTGTATTGTACAATGTACTGTAGATAGGCTGAGATATCAATGCACAAGACCGTGAATCTGAAACAGCAGGAGGCATAAGTGATAATCCAAATTCAATCAAAGAAATACCAAGTGACGTTCTACTTTAGAGCCACTAAAAATCTGTCGTTCTTAAGTCATAAGAAACAAAATGGTTCTAAAACTTGCACAGAAGTGAACAATAGGCTGCACATATGTATATTAGAAGAGCTGTCCTGAACCCGGCGTGTACAGTACATTCAGCCTTGATCTGACTATATTTTATAGTCATAAAATGCAGTCAATAGTTCATGGTTGTGCTCTCATCATGTTTAGTATCTTGTCAAATACATACTAAATCAAGTCATCTTTATTATTTTCATGGTCAGGTATCACTCCTACAGAATAGATAGCTGTGACCTGACCCTACTCGGGCACACACTTATTTCTTGTTGTGGTTAATGCATAGACGGGGATGAGGAGGTTATCTCTTTTATACAAAATGAGCACATTCAGAATAAAGGCGATTATTCTGTTTTAGAAAGTGGGGTTGTTTCTCTTCAAATGTTGATACTAGTTCAACACCAAATCTTTTGTTGTTTCTAATTAAATTTAAAACTGTATTTTGAAATAGACTTTAAGATGCAGCATGATTATTATTATTGTTTATGCAGTAAAGCTCCGCAAGAAAGTAAATCTTTCTTATCCATGTAGTATGAATTGTTTCAGTTCTTATTGAGCTTTAAGACAATTTCTGCTTTCATGAGATTTAGCATTTTTCCATCTTAAACCAGATTGATGTTTCACAAATTAAAGCCACCTCTCAGTGGTCAGAAACAGTGTTTTTAGTGAGATCCAGTCATTGTGATATGCTGGTCTGCTACATGTAGTTAACTAGTTAACTAAGCCTACTTTGTAGCATTTAGCTACCACAATAAAAGGAATCAAAATGCAAACACAAGACATTCAGGAACACTGTTAAAACAGAGGCACTATAAGACACCAATCTGTCAGTAAAAAACATGGATTCTGTTAATTTACCATGAACCCTGTCTACATGTTAGTCGTGATATAGACAGGCCTGTTTAAACAAGGGAAAATGCCCTTGTGATAGCTAGATCTGAGCTAACACAGTAAAGCTCTCTTGCAGTTTGGTATTACTTTTTATTCTAGCTGCCAAAACTCACCTGTTTTGGGTTTGGTGTAGTCTCTGTTGTTTGTCTGAAAATTAATTGTGAAGTGCTCCTTGTAAGAATTTAGCCATTTGCAAATGGTATCTGGATTTCACTCATTTGAATTCTCCTTCATTTCTCTCTTTTAAGGATCTGCTGGTACCGTCTGTTTTCCTATAAATGGCAGTTTTGCGAATTGAGGTTTCCTGGATTATTTTTTTTTTACTGCTTGCTATTTTAACTAGATGTACAGCCAAAAACAGCCTATGAGAACCTCAGGAAATATACAGGGGGAGATCTGAAAAGACCCTGAAAAGAGTGCTCTATTAAGATCGTTGTGTGAGACAATGTATGTCCCCACAGTATTTCAATTTCCACCCTCCATAAGCTGCATAACCATCATAACTGGCGTTTTTGTGTAATGAAGCTGCTTTTTATAGTCCTAGATGGAATGTGAATCCTGAATTCCCTGACCACAGGCACTCGCACAATACGGCTGTACTTGCTGGAGATGTTCATACAGAGCCTTGTAAAAATATTCACACCCTCACAATAATGTTTAACATCACTTTATTAACTTTATATTTTCGCATTCCCCAGCTTGCTCTCCATGAGACACACAGACACACAGATAGGGAGAGAGCCTGGGATCAGAGCGCAGGGTCTGCCATTGTACAGCGCCCCTGGAGCAGTTGGGGTTAAGGGCCTTGCTTAGGAGCCCAACGGAGTAGGATTCCTCTGCCGGCTGCGGGATTTGAACCGGCAACCTTCTAGCCACAGGCGCAGAGGCCACAGAGCCACCGCTTCGCCCAATAATATCACATTTTGATGAATTACATGGATTGATTTTATTCAAAGGAACATTATTCAGTACTGTAATGATCAAACATAGCACTATTTATTTAAAGACAAAGGTGGTTGAATGTTGGCAAAACCTGCAAAGAAGATATACTGTACAAAGTTACATTTACTGTTTTAATAGGTATTCTGCCCCTTGTCAGTCAGTATTTTGTGGAAGCACCTTTGGCAGCAATTGCTGCTGTCAGTATTTCTGGATTGGTGTCTGCCAGCTTTGAACACAGGGATAGTATAATTTTGGCCATTCTCCCTGGCAGTACTGCTCCTGTTCTGATAGGTGTGTGTAGGATAATTGATGGATTGCAATTGTCAAGCTACATCTTAAATTTGACTGGGCGTTTACATCTTTGACTGGCCCATTCAAGGATATTCACTCTCCTCAGACCAGTGACAAGAGTGGCTTTCAGTGTGGCTTTGGCCTTGTGCTTCAGGTCATTGGCCTGCTGAAATTAATTACAAGTACTGCAATAAAATGTAAAACAATTTCAGGGGGTGGATAATTTTCACCCCACTATCTCTCTTAAAGAAAGTAAGTGACTCAACATCTATAGTAGGTTGCTGCTTTTGTTGTTGTTTTAGGGCAGAATGTGACCTGATAAGATAACCAGAACCTCATGAAATAACACAATTCAAAGGACCAAATGAGCGCATTCAGAATGCCACAGGACTTCAAATGATTGTTTAACGTCACAACCACCTTGGTTTTGATGTTTTAATATTCACAGCAAAAGATATTGAATGATTTCCCAGTAGTATCGGATCATGCAAAGTGTTAAAGGAAACAATTGTTCTTTTTGTCAGTATTTTTTTATTTCATTTACATACAACCTTTAATGTGCAGTCCTAAGATATGAGAAATGACATTTCATTGAATGCACATTCATTGCCAGCACAAATAAGAACCAGCTCACTAACTGAGGTGTATTGTGAGAAACATTTCATCGGATGCCTCCTTGCATCATTCTTCCTCCCTCAAGGTTTGCGACAAACCCCCCACCCCACCACAAAACCTATACATTACCTGTATCAACTATAGAAAACAGCAGAAGGATAAAGAATTCCATTAATCATATTATTATTTTGTGTTTTAAACCTCCACAGATATTGAAAAACATTACCTGGTACACTGAGCGTACTCTGTCTGAAATTTCCCTGGGGAGTTTGCTGATCCTGGTGGTAATTCGGACCATTCAGTTCAACATGACAAGGACAAGGGTGAGCTTCAGAAACTAAAAAAATCAATAAGTCTTTAAACTGGATCATTTTTGCCACTTTTTCTGTTTTAACCTTTGAAGAATCTAGTGAGCAGCTTAGTGCTGTCCCTTTAAGTCATGTGATTCATTTTAAGGAAGCGTGTTGTACAGTAGCTTGACACAAAATGAAAATCGTTCCATTTTGTTTGGGTGTTGTGTATTACAGAGCTTCAAAGGCATTTGACTCATCTGTAAATGTTGTTGTGTCTTGGGGAAAAAAAACAATGACAGAACTGTAAATGATCAAATGAGCTGGTTGGTTATGTACACAAAGTTAATGGTTACTGTTTTGTTCACTTTTCACCCTTTTCTAATTTACTGCAGGATAAGTATCTTCACACAAACTGCCTGGCTGCTTTAGCAAACATGTCAGCCCAGTTCCGCTGCCTCCATCAGTATGCAGCCCAGAGGATTATAAGGTAAAGATTTTTTTTTTTCCATGCAAGGAGTTTGAAGCTGGCTGTTTTTTACCTTTGCTTATAGTACATGAAAGTGTGTCAGTCCAATCTGACCTGTCCCTGGATTGAATGCTCAGTGCTGAAATAAGGGTGGGAAAGTGAAGTAGTGGCTGTTTAAATTAGGATGGGGTGTTACTAGGCTGGAACTATTTCTTCATCATCATATGAAAGGTGCCATGTATGTGAAGGGGGCAGCTCTTGAGATTTTGTTGGTTTGAGCTGTAGTTGCTATTTCATGCTGAGAAGTGTGCATCTGCCCTCGGGCTTCCCAGCATGTTTTGTTTTTTTTATGAGCAAGCAAGGCAATGTTCACTTTAAAATACTCAAAGAGTAATGACTTCCTAAGAACCATTTGTGAGGCCAAGTAGATGTTTCCCCAGCCTAATTTACATTCTTCTGGGATTGGTAATTTATCCCAAATTCTTGATTGGGTTTATCAGGTTTAAAGAGGAGACACTTTTCTTATCCATCACTTCATGGATGCACCACTGAGGGTAGAGTAGCGTTTGACATTTGGAATTTTGACCAGCAGATTGTTGGTTCGAGTTCCATATCTAGGCACAGTTGTGTACTTACATGTGAAACAAAATGCTTTTCCCATTTTGATTAATTTCACCTTTATAAAGAAGTACAAGAATCTATTAGAGATAAATCCTAAAGGGTCCAGCACCCCAATCAAGGGACAACTTGGTAAACAACTTAGGATCATGTAACACTAATTTAGTAACCATGTACATGGTCAAATGTTCATAGCATTTTACATTTCTTACTTTAACATTGTAAGTTTTTTTGTTTGCATCACTTTCCATTATATCTTTGAATGTATAGTAAAGTGCTGCCATGTTTTCTTCTGTTTAATGGTTGTGCCATATGAGTACACGGAGAACAGTGAAGTGGAGGTCCTTTGCCACGAAAGATCACATTTATCCTTCATCTTTGTGCTTTATATCCCTTTCCAATAAGAAGACAGAATTGGTAATTAAAAATTGGGTAAAGGCTGAACAAAATAATGTTTTGTATTTTGGTTTGAACAAGCACCGTGCCACCTGAGGTTTGCGAAAATATATCCACACAGATCAATTGAACCCCAGCTGGATATGGATAATGTCTTTAATTTGATTTGGTCTGGTTATGGTGGATGTTGTTACTGTAACCTTGGTCAGTTCCATATAATTTCATCTCTTTGTGTGAATGCTGTTGAGCTGGTGTGCCTTCTCTATGTAGTTTTCACTAAATGTTAGTAGACGGCGTTCTTGTCTATTCTGAAACATTTATGTTGTATCCCATTATATATTATTTGTGTAGCCTAGATGATGCAGCTTGGGATTTTGGAAAACTGTATATAGCATTTGTACAGTATGTGCCTTGTATGTTATATATAATTAGTTGCTATTTCTGCTCTGATTTGATTGTGTAATCACTCTTGCATGTGCTCTAGTTTAGTGTTGTGTTTAATTGAGGGTGAGGGAGGTTAATCACAGTTGCAAACGTGAAATAAAATGTCTGATCAAACTCAAGTTAATATACTTATCATCAGAAATGTGAAAACTAGTTTTAATTAATTTACTTTTCATGAGAATTCACAATGAATTGCAAGGGAAGTAACTGAGCAAGTAATCACAAAGGGAAAACAAACTAGAAAATTTAAGAAAGGCCACATTTATGCCACAGGAAATATTAAATGATCCAGTTCACGAAATGCCATATGGTTGAGCCTAGTGATAAAGATCAACTCATTCTCAACATTTCTCATTAAACACGTGCAAAGAAGGAGAGAAAAGCATCCGAAAAGGCAGGAGCTGATGAGGGCAAGAGCTGTGCTGAGGACAGATGGCGAAGTCAGGCGGTTACAAAAATGACAGCATGATGCAAGTCAGTTGGAAATAACCTGTCTCTAAAATAAAAACAGAATTGTATTGGGAAATTATCAGAGATAAACAACAACAAAAAACGAAGGCAAACATTCAAATATAATTTCAGTTTAAAAAACATTTTAAGGATGTATGTAGCATACACTGGCCCAACTCTTATATTGCATGATTGTTTGCCTTGATCAGGACTCAGACTCAGTCGTGTGAGCTGGGATCAAGGACATGGTGTAATGGTATCTTCAGAAATTAATGTAGGTGCTGCACATTCAAACATGCTTGTATGTTTACTCTGAGTTTTTGGTGTTCTGATTAGAGATAATAGGCTATTTTTTACTAACTTTTTTCCATGTCTGACATAATTCTGCCAACTCCACATCATAGTACAATCGACTGACTTCCCTCGCTGAAGGTCTGCTAGTGCTTTCTGTCCATTCTCTGGTGCAACTCGGGTTCATCTTTTTTGTTTTTCAAGGTTCTCCAGTAACACATGTAGACAAAACACCACACAGTTTAAAGTTTCCTACAACGTCGACTAACACACTTTGAGAAACTGGAAGCTATGTTTTTAAATTATATTTACATTTGCTTTCAGTTTTTCTAGGGTGGAAGCTAAAGCTAAAGTCAGCTTAAATAAATTCAGACATTTTCATAATAATTCAGAATAAAATTCAGATATTTTCTTCTCCATGGTTGTACGAGGAATCCTCACTCTGTGCAGGAAAACAGGGTTCACTTGTTCACCTAATCTTGATGTTTTGCTGGGCACAGGTTTGGCATGGTGTAACCTGCCTCAGAAATTATTACATTTATAAACCGTTTGATTTCCTGCCTTTACAGAAGGTGATTTTCAGTTTCATTTCAGTTTCAGAGACCCGACTGCATTTCTGTTTAATGTAAATATATAACATATCAATTGAACAATGGTTTCTCCAGTTGTGTAGTGACTCATATGTCCTTCCACAGAGAAGGCAGCCTGCTTCACTATATTTATGTCCAGCTATTCCAGTCTGTATTATTACTCTGTCAGCCTATGTCATTATGCTCAGGCAGCAAAAGCAATTTACCCTTCTCTGTAAAAATCAGCAATGTAATTTTCAACTGAAAATCATATATTTCTCTTACAGTAGATATAAACACAGAAGGAGCCCGGATATGAGAAATATAGATCAGATGTTTACTTTTTTAAAGGTTTCATGCCATTATCTCCACAGTTACAATACTGTTTTCTTAATTTTGACAGACAATGAATTAGATTTGACTGTGTGGAAGGTTGCACACTCTATTGATTGGTCTTCCATACAAGAAGGGGATGACAATCGTTCTGCTGCCCCCAGAAAAAGAAAATGTGCATGGAATAGCAGAGTGGTGTATTTGTGGAGAATGTATTCTGAAAAAACAATTTTCAATGATGGATGAAACATTTCTAAACTGCACATGTGCCTCAGTCACCCAGGTCTTTAAGTTGTATGTCCAGACACAGTTAACATCACACGGGGAGATGTAAATGTGAGTCACAAGGTCATTCAAACATGGATCCTATAATCATGTAGTGTAGCCTGTCGACAACTGTGTGCTGGCAGATTTTTCTGTTGCTAAGCAATGTCCTGGCTCTCTATTTTCTGAAGGTGATTATGGAGTTATGCGACCCTGATCCATATTACATGTTACATTTCATTGAATAAATTGCACACACTTTGCACACACAATTCAAGATATTTATGGCACCTTGAATTCTTTCTTTATCACCAGATTTAATGAAAAAGATGTTTTGGTCATTGTCACAATAAAGTATGAGTTTATGATCTATAGTTTTTAAACGTCATTATGTTTTAAATGTATTTATTTATTACTGAATCCCCAAGTCTGCACAAGTAATGTTTGTTTTTCTAAATTAAATTAGGTACTAAAAAGCTCATTTGCAGGGGGCTGGAAGTTTGTATCTTGCACAACAATAAAAAAAAGGACGTTGTTCAGGTTTATTACTGTTTTAATAAAGAAGATGGGGGACTGGAGCAAATTCAAATAAAAGATGCTGTAGTCTTGGTTATTCATTTTCTCTGAAACTGCTGTTTTTTTAAGTCTAATTTGTTTCTCTATCCTAAATGTGGTTTACTGGGTTTACTATAATTGAAAATAAATAAACTCACTTCGTTAGTTCAATTTTAGTACCAAAGATGGGATTCTGCTTGTGTGCGATAAAGAATGTGAAATACTGTTGGATAAGCCTAAAGGGTGTTTTGCTATTTCAAAGCTTAACTGTTCAAGGCTTCTGCTTCTCACACTGTTTTGTACCCCACAGCCTCTGTTACTCTATCTTCTTAACAACTCTTTTTCACTCCTGAAAAAGTTTATTTTTAAACAGCACACCAGAGAAAAAAAACAGTTTGCTTTTTGGTAGCAATATTGGCACAGAATAAGTTTGATTATGGAAAGCTGAAGAGAAAGACAAATAAAAATTGATACCAGTGTCATGGCTAAGGTGGAATTTTCACCATTTTCTCTTGCTGTGTTTTATGGAGAAGGGACAATTCAAAGAAGAGTGGGAGCCAGTGGTTACACAGTAGTCAAGGGAACTACTGTATATCGCGGCAGAGGACGACAAAATACTGCAAGGAGAAAAAACAGCAGGACCTCCAACTTTATTGCGATGGCTTTTTCAGCTGTCGGCAGTTTGTCAGCACCAAAGTCAAAGTGGGCGAACAGCAGCCATAGGCAGGGTATGAACTGAGGGTGTCCAAATAGTTTTTTACCTAAAGCTTTTACCTAGCTTTTCACAGTCCAGGCAGTGTCTAGGAGGGCAATGTTCAGTATTTTCCATAGGCTCTTAATTCTTAAATACACTTTGTGAGACTTGCTGAACTAGTGTACAATAGATTAACATTATAATTGGTATTATTAAAAGAAATGTGGTATTCTTACATGGTAGTAAGGATCTCTAAGTCACCTGGAGCTAAGGAATCTACACTAAAGTGCCTGGAATTGTCTGTTATTCGAAGCCTTGAAATTGATGCAGAGCAGAGTCAGCAGAAGTTACGAACTTTCAGGGAATCCAAGAAGGAAGCAGTTGGGTCTAATGACTACAATCTGTTTGCTAGCATCTCCCCCAAAACACTGAAAAGCCATCATTGTTCAGAAGCAGAGACAATTGTTTTTGATGGGATGGGTCCAGACCATACTCTTTTGCCTTCCAGGTCCAGGCTGCCTGCCACCCTCCATAACCTCTTAAAGCAGAGAGAAAGACAGTGTGCAGGTGGTGAAAGACTTATCACGGAAATGGAAAAATTGAGCAAATGTGGGTTTGTCATGATTTTTCGTAGCAATCTTCTAGGGGTAGGTCACAAGTGACAGGTCCGCGGAGGTTTAGGAATGCGTGTCAGCTGTTTTTGATGATGTAATATAAGGGATTGTACAAATGTCTGAAAACTTTGACGGATCTTTTCGTGACTGAAAAGAAATAGATGGTTAAGATGTAAAGGAGGTCTTTCCTATGTGTAAATAACAGAATTAAATGCAAACCATAAGCTTTTCAAAGTATCCACATGACAACTCAGGGGTAGTGTCATTGCCTTACCTCATTTAAGTCTATGATGCTATTCAGTGTTATTACACTTTTTCTGTGGTTCTTGTGTTTTTCTTCTTTAGAGCTTAATATTTCATGTTTTCTCATTCACCAAGATGCAGAAATAAAAACAAATTATGCTTGCATTGTCCTACTCAATAAAATTCACTGTCAACTTAATGAGCACTGTCACACTGCAAACACTTAAACACAGGCAGTCCTAACTCTGATAAAAAAAAACATTGGGAGACTCAAGCCAATGACATCTGAGAAGCCTGAGACAGTGGTGTACAAGCAATGAACACCCCATTAATCAGTGCATTATAATCCTGGATGTGACTTCCTTATGCTATTTACTTTATGAACGGAGCACCTCGGCTTTACTGCTTTTCCAAGGCGAATGTAGTGCAAAAGCCGCATTTAATCCATTTCAATGCATTCTATTAGTTGAAACACTTCTGTAGCAACAGTAAAATAGTTATGATTAAAACCGAGAGTCTTGGAGAATCTTCAGGTGTTCTATAAGTAATTGTATTTGTTGGGTCCTGAGGTGTCCGCCCCCTAATCTCGTAATTACAAGAAAAGCATCTCCTAATTACGAGATAACTAATTATCTCGTAATTACAAGATAGCAATGATTACTTTGGTGTGTGTACAGCCTGTTACGTTGTGCACTGAATGCAACTAGAAGCTAATGTGTCAATGTCCAGCGCTGCAGAATTTGTATGGATTTGCTTTCGACTGGAGATTAGCCATAATGAAATCTAGCAATTTTTGGCACATATGAACACAGTTATTATAAGCATGAGGACCAGTTTTGTGGGATTTAGAGATGAAAGCAATGCTAGTTCTGTAATGAGCAGTTATACATGCAGTCAGTCCCACTGCTTAAAACTGTAAGTCCACACGTAGCGATATAGGTATTATATGACAATTGTGCTATCGCGTGATCACATAAATTACGCGAAAATTTCTATCTTGTAATTATGAGAATTTTCTCATCGTTACGAGATAAGGGCGAGGATTTATTTTTCCTCCATGGCAGCAATCGTACATTGTTTCAAAAGTTCATTTTAAATTGATATATGCTGTCGGATATACAATGAATTTTGTCTGTGATTCAAAACCATTATTTCAACAATTAGTTGGATTTCATTTCCTTTTAATGGCAATGGCATTGTTAAGACCTACATGTTATGTTGTCTTGTTGATCCCTTACAAGCATGAATTCACAGACAACTTTCCTGATGGGTCTATCCTGTCTTCAAGTGTGTCAAACTTACCCTCTTTGCTGTTGTTTCATTTTTTCCATATAATTCCTAATCAAACATTTTTATTTCTTGATTTCTGATTTAGCATTACATAAAAAATACTTTTTTTAGTTTATTGCTGAAGCAATGTACATGGTAAAGTGCAGTAACCATAATATATTTTCAAGTATTTCCTTCTTTAGTCAACTGATTATACCATAAGTGGTGGTTTCAGTAAAATCAAAGCTAAAACACAATCAGCCTACCAGATCTGAGCTCGAAAAGTCTATGTTTAATACATTCTTCTCTAATGGAGAGAAATGGGTCCATAATTGTCAGACTATTCCTTTATTTTAGTTTTTTCTACTTGGTGTGGTGTTTTTTGTATAACTGCCAGTGACTAACAGTACTAACTGCTTATCATGGGGAATGAAAACGAGGCTGACTGTCCTAGTGATGTGCAGAAAGGGGAATGCTGGGAAGCATCACTTCAAAGTTGTGGCTGCTGTATTTTACACTTCCGCTTTGGCTGGCCTTTGACCTGAGACATAAGTGCCTGTCATCGGGTGTCTCGCCTGTTCCTCGTTCTCCATCCTTTTTGCCTGTTTTCTCCTCTGGAATCTACCTCCGTTCCTTCACTGTGGTGTGGTACGCCTCCCTCTGGCTGGAGAATAAAGGAAAACATGAAAGATAAGAGAAAGAGAGAAAAGAAAATCCCAACTGTTTTTTCTTTCTTCTTTCTGTCTCTTCCTTCCCCTTGTTTTTCAGTTATACCTGCCGCCACATGCGGAGATACTTGTATGTCTTGGACAATATGTATTTCCCTCGCTCCAATTGCACCACGCTGGAGCACTGCTTCACTTCCCTGGGTGACACGGGTGAAGAACTCCTGCACTTTACTTGCTCTTACATTCTCAGGTCCTATGCTTCCAGGTTAATAACCTTTGCTGTCCATGTTTTGACTGCATGTCTGCATGTTCAATGTGACTGCTTATAGCATGACTAAATGTAATGTTTTTTTTAATCCTGCCATTATTAGCCTTCTTATCTTTATTAGAGGGGGGAGGGGGAAATGGGCCCAGATTATGCTATTCCAGACACTCTGAACAATTTTTATTTGAACACTGAAGTAGATGGATTGCTCCACTAGGAGGTTTAAAAATTATCTGAAATTCATATTTCATCATGCTACATTTCACAAGGACCACAATTTGCCATTCCTGATCAATTAACTTTCTAAACTGATTAAAGCTCATGTGCACTGAGACTTAACAAAATCATGAGTTCAGGGTGACCTATCATTGAGTGGATCTGGGTAACAGTCTAAATTAGTGTCATGTAGTACTGTACAGCAGTGTGCTCTTTTGGAAGGCAGTCGGTAATCACCATTATGATGCTAAAAATGGACTTCTTAAAAACAAATTGCTATAAGATTTCCTTGACAGTAGCAAAGGCATTGTAAATGCTGTCACAGGTTCACAGCTGGATTAAGTTTGCTTTATTTTATTTGGAGAGGATTTGAAGACATGCTGTTTTGGTATTTCTCTTTGCTTCTTTTATGTGTTCATGCTGTTGTGTAATTCCAGATTTCTTAACATACAGTAGTACTCGATGCTTTTCTAACCAGGCTTTTTTCCCCTCGATAAAAATACTTTACTTCTTTTCCTATCATATTAGCAACTTTGAATACGTAAAAGTTTTTACACGTTACTGCAAACTTTCTCTATAGACGGTAATTCTGGTATGACTTTCTTTTAGGAACTACAAATTGTGTGCTGTAGCACACTAACACATTTCCTGTGATGCATTAAAAACATAAATATGTTGAGAGCCTATTTCTTCTAAACAAGAGAATAATGCAAACGGATTTCAGTCTCGGGTAGAAAATGGAATGCACATATAGCTGGGGTAAATCTGACACATTAACGCTCAAATCCATTGCAAATCAAAGGAGGTTAAATACCAATGGGGGTCTATTTTTTTTTTGCTGCTAGCAACACTTGTACTCAATGTGGTATCAACATGACAAGAACATGTACAGTATTTCTCTTTGGAAAGCCATATACACACATGCTGCCTGCTAGGGAAGTCTAACAAATGTATGTGATGTGACTGCGTTGATATGCTGACCTTTTCCATAACTGTGCACAAAAGTAAGTTGAATTGTATAGAAAGAATATATTAAATCTGTGGCATTGGAGACTACATAAGCCATCACAAAATGCTAATTGTGATTTCTGCCCACCTGGTATTGTAGCCTAGGCATACCATTTCTCCCCATGCCAATTATTCAACACCAAGCCAACATGTACAATACTTTCTGACGCATTCAGTTTGGAGCTGTTGTCTTAAGCTACAAAACCTGATCTTGCCACAGTGACGTTCAGGTTTCTCTGCACAGTTTGGGATGCAGGATAGCGATGATTCTGGAGTTGCCTCAGTTGGATATGCTGATTGTGTGCAGGCATGGAGATGCATACTGTAGCTGTTCTGGCCCATTGTCAGTAGCGAGTTAAAGACGTTAGATTGCATTGTGTCTGCAGACATGATCAAGTCAACCAGTGCACACTACAGTGTCTGGTGACCCTGGACATTGATATTCCTGCCCTCAGTATCCCAATGGCCTCTTCCCTTCTACATTGCTGTGGTCATGACATTTTGACTTTGACATAATTAGTGTGGGTTTTCCTCGGTTTTCTGTTCCCATGGTAACAGATCCAATACTATGTGAACACAACACGATCACGTCCACAGATCTATAAACTATTCCATCATATACAGTGTTACTGTACAGGTGACTGAGATTTTTTTTACAGTTGGTTAATTTGTTTATTAAATGAAATAAAAGATTTTACTGATATACATATACTGTAGGGAAAATATTGCAAACAAGCGTGTTTGTTGTCATTTTAATGCCTCTCACTATGTTTAAAATAACCTAGCTTTATTTAGTGATGTGTTTTTATCACAACTCAGTTGCTATCAGACTATTTTATCTCCATTGATATTAAGACTAGAAATTGTTCAAAAATAAAATACATGTTGTTCTTCTAGCTTATGTTAGGACAGGAAATCAATGTGCTTTTATTTCCTCACTGGTTAAATGAGAAATATCCTGGTAAATATTCTTTTTAAAATAGGCAGTGACATAGAATTCTTATCATATCAATGCACTCAAAAACAGATCTTTAAAATAAAAAAAACGTGAATAATGTTTCAAGGAAATCTGATAGATCAAAAATTAAATAAAGAAGGTTAGAACTCTTAAAAATCTGTTTGTGTCTTTATGCAGTATAAGATGGACTACATATCAAATAGCATTGACTGGAAGCAATGTAGTTAATAACCCTCTACTGCTAACTGGCTTTAACTGGCTTGATACCAGACTTTCCAGACATCCAGATTTCCTATCACCTTAATAAATCTAAAATATTTGGCAGGTCTGTGTAAGTTTGTTGATTGAATTTACTGTCTTACTATCATCTTAAAACAGTATGATCCATCTCATAGACAGGCATTTTTAATAATTTTTCTATCTAGCAATTTATGACCAAAAAAAAACACTTGCCTGAAAGGATTGTGTTAGCTAACGGATTGGATTGAATCTTTTCATAGAGTTGTGCTTTTTCAGATGTAATACCTGAGGCCCACTAAAAACATTTAATTGGTAAAATACATTACCCCATTAGTTACAACAACTGTGTATGAGAATGTGAGAAAAGTTAGGAAAAATCTTATATCTTTCGTGATAAGGATAAATTCCAGGAATATAAAAAAATTGTCTGCGCTCTGAAAATTAGCCAAGAATTTTTTAGAATCATCGTGTTTATATGTCCTTTAACACATTGTTCTCTAGTTGCTTCTGAAGCGAAGGTCCAGTGCTGTTTCTTGGGTGGCTTCACTACATATAGATGATTGTTTATGACCAGACAAAGGCAACAACACTGTTCTTAAATCTGGTTGTGTTCTTGGCAACAGGAGATTCTTAAAGACATGTTTGTGTTATTTTGTGACAGTACATGCAGCTGCTTCAGTACAATAATATGGCAGAATCACAGGTGCAGTATTAGCAGTTCCAGTTAATATGCTCTATCTACAGTGAAGGTGTTTGATTCACTAGATCTGTTCCCACCCTCCAACAGGTAGCAACTCACTTATTTTCCACCTGTCTCTGAAATTGATAGTCATGATGTGCCTGCTTGCATTGTTCTTGATTTTAGGTCTAGCAGTCATCTTACCCCAGACATTCTGGTACATTGTGAGCGCATGGTTTTTGCATGTTGACAGCTTTGGTGTTTCAGTGAAAAAAGTGATCTGCCCTCTTACTTTCTGTTGTTAAAGATACTGTTTTCATTTGCATGTTATTATCATGTAGTGTAAAAGAAATTTTAATCTCTTATTATAGACAGGGAATGTTTTAATTAGATAATTCATAATTTTGAATAGCATTAGTATTATTAAAATAACCTACCACATTACTGGAGAGTTTGCCTACTGTCAAGTGTAAGGCAACAGCTACTTTTTCTGGCAACTTTGCTACAGTTCCTCATAATTTATAACCTTTAATAATATGAGTATGTGCTCACTTTATTTTAGAATGTACACACACGAGTGGTATATTTAGATTAACATTCACTTTTCTTCTATTCGCTTTCCGAAATTGTTTGCTTTGCTTTATTTCCTCCGCAGTTTGGTTTGGTTTCTTAAATATCCTGTAGCAAAATTATAAAACTGTCTTTCTCAGACTTGCTTTTCACATTGACAGAATAAACAATAAGTTAACAAAAGTATGTTTGCCTTGAGCAATGAGATTCCACAAGTGACATATACTCAAAGAACTCAAATATGTATAAATAACATGCCCCCATACCCTTATGAAATAGGAACAGAAACCATCAAATAACATATTTCAGATTGGATAATGTGTCTTTTTTTTTTATAAGGTGTTATATTGTAAATTTAATAGCTTTTCACAGAGAAAAGACAAGTCCAGATCACACCCCTAGTTAGTATTTTGTAACTGTCCTTTTGCATGGATTACACTGACAAGGTGGCTGCTTTAGTGTGCTGCAAGGCTCTGACTGAACAGAGATAGAATTGCTTTTGGTCAGTCAAACCCTTAGTTTTCCTTTTCTGATCCTTGGCCATGAGTTCAGACCAAATCGTTGGATTGGATTGAAGTCTGGAGCTTGAGACGGTCATGAGAGAATGTTCAGTTTCTTTATAGTTAACCATTTCTTTGTTACTGTGGATGTAGGCCTGTGTTTGTGTCATTTCCACGCTGGAATGTCCATTTTTGGCCAAACATGAGCTTCTTGGCAGGAAGAACCATTTGTCTGGCCAAAATGTCCTGGTACAGGATTTCTCCTATCTCCACAAGGGCTCTAGGACCTGTAGATATCATACAATCCCAAAACAAAATAGAATATTTAATAGTGGCACAAGTGTTTTCTCAACTTGAGCTTTTTTTACGCTAGGTAATTCTGCTAAGCATGCCCAGGAACCTCATTTTTTGTTGTTCAGAACCTGACCATAAGATGTGTTCCAATTGGCATTCAGATGTAGTTTGATAAATTCATATCTTATTATTGTGGTTTGCGCTCAGAAAAGGCTTCTTCCCTGCAACTTGTTCATGAATGCCCCATTTATACAGGAGTGGTCACATGGTAGTTTTCGACATTTAGTATCTGTAGGATTCCAGTGTGTTAAGCATCTTCAGCTGTTCCCTTTGGATTTATGGTTGCTTCCCAAGCCGCTTGTCTCATAGCCTGTGGTAGCAAAGTACATTTGCTTTCTCTTCCTACTAAGGTTGCCATTATACCAGTAGCCTTAAATGTCTTTATAAAGAGAACTACATTGGAAAGTGGTAGATTAATCTTTTTAATGATTCCTTTACAGCCGTCCCCCAACTTATAGAGGGGAATGACCATTTG